GGTTGAGGTTGTTGGGTTTTTTAATATAGAAATATCCTTGACTATTCTCCTGTCTGTCTGTCCAATTTTTTTGGTTACCCCTGAAGCACAACAGAGTACGCTGGCTTTGAAAGGAATGTGAAGGGTTCTACCTTCTATCCTTTTTCCTATATGTTCTAGACATGGCTTCCTTCTTATCCTTGGATTTTCACCAGGATGTCATCCAGGCTGTCTCCAAAGAGTTTACTTCCCTAAAATGGAAAGGACAAATATTTGCTGGAATGGTAATCAGCTTGCCAAACTCTGAGCCACAAGCTTCTACATGCCACTACTGCCAGTGTCAAGCACAGGAGGAACAGCACAGTGTGTCTAGAGTGCCCTCAGCCATAAATGTGACTGCTCTAAGGAGCTGACTGGCACCTTTCCTGGTCTTTCTGTTCTCCACCGTAGTCAGCTGAACTAGCTTCCTAGCCCAAACAATGGAAGCCCTCGTGAACCCAGGTTCTGTTTATTAGAAAAAGGGTTTGCCCAGTCCTCTTTCATGTGGTTCTCAAAGTTATGGGAACCACACTACATTTTCCCCACACTAGGCATGGAGATAGGAGTAGTAGGTGCTTTCTGTTGAGTCGTAGGGGCCTTGCTGAGCAGCTCCTAAAAAGCCTGCTCTCCTTAATGAGGCAGGGAACAAACAGGAAGGATTTTAGTCCTGCCTCCTTGTTGGACAAGTGGGGATCGCCCATGTCAAAATGTCCCCCCCCTCAGAGCAAGAAGTTCTAATTCTCTTCTAATTCCTTGATGCCATCTGTAATAGGTACATTTCCTTACACTATCATGCATTTGTTTCAAATGCATTACTGGCTGATGAATTATTTCAGCAATATTTTATTTTTTATTTTATTTATTTTTTATTATTTGATTTATATACCACCCTAACCCCCCATGGGGTCTCTGGGCGGTTTACAATTAGTTGTGCTAATCACCAATTTACAATCCTGACTATGGCCACAATTCATACAGGGGTTGGGTCATCCTACCAGCACCCCAGGTGGTGACGGTTTTTTCCTCCTCCGGCCTCTGGCTTCCTTGGCTGCAGATGTCAGTTCAGCGGGACGTCTCTCCTCTCCTCTGATGCCTCCGGGCGGCTGCTTCTTCCGGCGCACGAGTCTGCTCTCCCCCGGCTCCGGCTATGTCCGATCGGCTCCGCCGCGCCGGGGGATGACGTCTCCGCACCTTCTTCTTGCTGCGACGGCCGCCTCTTTGCTACCTTCGATGCTGGCCACCAGGGATCGCTCTCTCCACTGGCCCTCAGTCGCCACGCTGCGCCGTACCGCCTCGTCTCCGCCCAGGACTCCGCCATCGCTGCCGCCGTTCTTGCCGCCATTGCCGCTGCTCCTCCGATGGTCCTCCGCCGTACACCCCACGCCTCGGAGAGGGGGGTGCCCCTACCCTACTAAGGGTTGGTACCCATTTATCTCGCCCTTTAACAGGCTTTTTTGAACCGCTGGGTGGGCGGGAGCTAGGACGTTGGGTCGGGAGCTCACTCCGACCGCGGTGGGGCTCGAATCGTAGTTCGGCCAGATGTTATAGTGCAGGCTGCATTTACAGCCTGCGCCACCGCTCCCATTTCCTGCGTTCATTATGCCTCCATATTGTTTACATTTCTGTTCTTGCCTTAACATTTACTTGCATTTTGCTTATTAATTTTAAAATATGTCACTAGGGAAGGGAAGTGGATATCTGAAGAGAAACCAGAGTATGGCTTATAAATATAAGTGGGATATAAATGGAGTTTATTACTATTTATGTACTGAAAAAACACATACCCCAAAATAGGTTTGAAAATAAAATACCTACCAAGGACTGTGGGATGTTTACATACTCCAGGAGATGGATCAGTCTCAAGGACTGATCACTTCCTGAAGCATTAAAACAAATTGTACCCTAGAAATCCCCATCTTCCTCTGTCCAACACACAATGCATGCTGGAAAAAGTGAAAACCCACTGCCAGGAAACATGCTCCCAGGCCAATGTATGCATTGAGATACTGCAAAACATATTCAATACAAACAGGCAATACTGAGAATGAAAATGTCAAGCAAACAAGCACTCAAGCTGGCAAGCCATTCAAATGACTTGTCAGTTGATATTGTCTGACCAAGGAATATGCTTATTATTTAACTACAGTCAAATATTTCAGCAAGAATACCCTGATGCAGATCTACCTACATGTGAAAAATATAACTGCATCATGGTGCCATCTGTTAGTGGACCTACTTAAATGACTCAAGTGTTTTGCTTTGCTACTTGCTAATGCCATCTGTTGGGGAAAAGATGGAACTAATGAACAGCTCAAGATCTTTATTGGCTGGAAACTCCTGATACACCAATTTTAATTGGATGGAATCTTCTTCCAAAGTTTCAAGTATTATTTAAAGTCACACTAGGCTATCTATCAATGAGCACTGCAGACTCTGGTCACAACAAAAAATGCATTCTCATATAAAATATTATACACTTTCTCAAGAATAAGTTCTATTAACCTCAGAGAACATGAATAAAAACAGGAAGGTGTTATGAGTAGACTGCAGAAGATGAGTCAATGAGGAGATGTTGAAAGAAAGCAAACATCACAAAGGTCAGATATGGGACTAACAGCTGGATCCTGAATATCAACTGCCATTCTAGGATTCCCTTAGCAAGATGCTTTAGCAATTCTGTTGATGCTTGCAAGGTGAGGCGTACATTATTATTACACACAAAAGACTCATGTAATAAATTAAACTATAAAATGACCAGAGAAAGGCTGTTCAAAAGGCACTAAGTGAAATAAGAACTGTACTGCAAAATATCTGTATATTCCAGTAACAATGTTAATGCAAAAAATATATAGTGATATTCTGTAACAAATACAAAAACATTTGTAATAGAGGCCCAGAGTCAAATCGAGTCTTCTAACAAAGATTCCAGATTGTATATTCATTTAGTAAACCAATACATAACTGCAATAACCATAATTTCTTAGCACTTCATTGAAAAGTCTGTATAGTAACAAATCATTATCCTTCAAACAAGAAAAATTATTAGGTTTTGCAAGGCATATCAAGGATCTATAGGCAGGCCACCTTGTTCATCATAAGGAGTTCAAAGTACAGCCCATCAAGCAGGTTTGATTGGACTGTAGCATAAGGTTCAGCACCAAGAGCCAGTGTGGTGTAGTGGTTAAGAGCGGTGGACTCTAATCTAGAGAACCAGGTTTGATTCCCCACTCCTCCACATGAAGCCAGCTGGGTAACCTTGGGTCAGTCACAGTTCTCTCAGAACTCTTGCAGTCCCACCTACCTCATAGGATGTCTGTTGTGGGGAGAGGAAGGGAAGGCGATTGTAAACCGCTCTGAGACTCCTTCGGGTAGTGAAGAGCCAGGTATAAAACCAACTCTTCTTCTTCTTCTAAGCTACAAGCTATAACAAATGGCTACCTCAGACATACTAAGTATTACATTTTTAATCTGCATTTCTCCAAGGAGCTCAGGGCAGCTTTCATGTTCTATCACTCCCAGGCCATCCTTGTCTACGACACTGGTTCTATTGTGAATATCTGGACAATCAAGATTAGAAAGTACACAAAAATGAAAAAATTAGAAGGCCAGGCTGTGAAGCTGACAAAGAGAAGCTTTTTCTGAACATAATATGCTAGATTCTCGCAATATTCTCACAATACAAGAACTCGTGGGCACTCAATGAAATTGCCAAACAGTCAGGTTAGAACAGATAAAAGGAAGTACTTCTTCACCCTAAGAGTGATTAACACATGGAATTCACTGCCACAGGAGGTGGTGGCAGCATGGACAGCTTCAAGAGGGAATTAGATAAGCACATGGAGCAGAAGTCCATCAGTGGCTATTAGCCACAAAGCATAGATAGGAACTCTTAGGCTGGGACAAGTGATGCTCTGTATTCTTGGTGCTTGGGGGGGGGTGGCAACAGTGGGAGGGCTTCTAGTGTCCTGGCCTAACTGCTGGACCTCCTGATGGCACCTGGTATTTTTGGCCACTGTGTGACAGAGTGTTGGACTACATGGGCCATTGGCCTGATCCAACACTGGCTTCTCTTATGTTCTTAGATGACATCATTGCTATAAGTCAAATGTTTTGAAGTGAACCATATAGCTAGCTTTAAGACAAAACAATAAATATAGAAAATCAAAACAAACTCTTGGTCACAGAAATCACCAAAACACTCCTAAACTAAGGGTAAAAGCAAGATCGTAGCATAAAAATTAAGGCAATATTTTATATAACATGTTTTGCAAAGCAATAACCATTTTATAGCAGGGTTGTTGTCTAAACCTGAATGGCTCTAAAACTGGCTTGTCTTAAAAACTTGTTAGTCTGTGTCTGTCAAAGTAAAAGAAAGTGGGGAAACACAATATTAGGGAATAGAGATTTTTTTTAAAAAAAATGGATTCACTTAGTAGAAAGGCAATTTATCAGCATTAAAATTAAAATAAATTGTTGAACCTAGGACCTTCTGCAAGCAAAGCTATAGAAATAAATAAAGGAAGCATAACTAATAAAAGGCCAGAGTGAGTAACATAAATCAAATGACACAGGGAAGGTGGTAGAAAGGGCTAAACACTCTGCAAGAATAAAGCTAGAGAGACAGCATCTTCTTTGTTGAGCAGTCAACAAAGCTGCTACCCCTGTGAAAATTAATTTATGTTGCCTGACAGCAGCAGGCTATCCGACAGAACTCCTGAACCTACCTTCGTGACAGCCAGACATACTTATAAAAGGTGCAGCATTCCAAACCTGGATATACATCGAGGAGGGTGAACTTCTCAAACTATCCTATCGAACACACAGATTCTTTGCCGGAAATAAAAGGGCAACACCAGTCACCGGTGTGAGGTGGTATGTGTGGGGACATGACAGGACAAAAACCCCAGCACAAGTCTTAATAGAGCCAACCAATCTTCAAGAGGGAGCGGGTACTTGAAATGCCCGCGCAAAACCAGACTAACCTGCCGAAAGCAGAATGGCATAGTGAGCACGCTGACCCCCACAATGCTGTTCACGATGTTCATGATCAGGCCCCAGTTGGAACCGGCCGAAGACGAGGTGGAAGCCATGCCCAGGGCGGGGCGGCCACGAGGGGATGACAGCACACGAGGGGGGAGAAGACGCAACCTCGTTGGGGGAGGACCGGGGGTGGGCGCCGCAGGGAGGGGAGCTGGCGGAGCTACCGTTATGACGCGCGAACTGCCCCAGAGCAAACTCCCTTCCAGGCCGGCTCCAACAGCACACGTCGCACACAGTTCCTACTTCCCCTAGTTTGCAGGCGCTTCCGGGATGCGAAACCACAGAGCACAAGTGGCCTAGAGCGACAAAAAGCTGACGAGACTCTGAACCGTTGACCTTCCCGGAGGAAGAGAGCGACTGAGGTGACCATGGTAACCTGAATGACGCCCGGGACACGGCAACGTCACCACTGCTGGGGGGAGGGCGCGGAGGAAGTGTTTTGGTGTTTTCGCGACTTTATTGGCCAGAAATGTGTTACCGCGTTATTGCGCCGTATCCCGTCTACGTTACGCTTCTTCTATCTAGCTGCAGTGTACCACAAAATTAGCACACATACTCCATATCATGAAAAAGCATCATATGTTTAGTTTTGTAAAGAGTGCAAGAAGGGCAAATGGTTGAGGATGCCCTTACTGCATCAGTGCAGCAAGTGATCATTCTCACAAGTTACAGGAAGTGGGATGATAGATGCATGGTTCACACCTGCTAATTTCTTAAAGTATGACACGGCACTAGGAGATAAATTACACAAGTGTTTCCATGGCTCACCTTCTACTGGACTCTGCCATCTGGAACCTTCTACATATCCAAAGAAGTGCGGGGGGGGGGAGGCAAAAGATAAGAAACAAGGACTCACTTCTCTCACAGAAATACAAGATGACGTTAACTGAGAGGTGGCAAAGAACATTTTCTGCTGCTTTCCAATACAGAAACCTTTCTGCCATAATTCGTGCAGGTTACTTAATCCTGTGACAGCTTCTGTGCCATCAAGCAGGTTTGATTGGACTACAGTCCAACACCAAGAGCCAGTGTGGTGCAGTGATGCCAGATTTCTTCAGAGCAACATGGATGACCTAATGGACGTTCTTGTCAAGTAAAGGAGTCTCTGAGCATGCACAATATGTCTTCGCTTTACTACTGGTACACACAAGCCGCACCTCCCCCACCACACAAATCTAGGAATAGGACACAGCAACCTTGCAACTTCTAAGAAAGCCTGAGCACTAGCACCTGCTTTTCTATGGGGGGGGGGGGAAATACCAGTATCAGGATGTAGGAAATGAGCTCTCTCACAGTCCATTAGATATAGCCAGGAATACCAATTGACCTGACTGGGCTTCATTGAAACGCAGCAAAACACTTCAAAAGTATTGGGAGAGTTGGTATGTTAGTCCATATCCCTCACTAAATTTGCAGAGTGAACTAAAGGCTCAGAACCAGGGGTCATTTTGTAGAAAAAGAGGTGCAGGAGCTCATTAGCATAACTCATTAGTATAACTTATTTGCATATGCCACCCCCCCTGACATCACCGGGAGTGTGTCAGAAGGCAACACCCCCCCCTCAGGCTCCACTGGACTGTTTTGGATTGCTAGCTATTGGGGGGGGACGTGCAGATCTGTCCTCGCAGAGGAGGGAGAGCTTGTACCTGAATAAAATTTGGTCTTGAAGGTGCCACTGGACTGTTTTGGACTGGGGGGGGGGGCTCTGCAACTTACCTGGCTGCTTCTTGCTCTGACTGAGGGCTGCTGGGAGCAGGGGGGGGGGCTTGTTACATGTACCTGCCCCCAGGCTCTTTACTGCCGGAGCTCTGCTCCTGTGCGCTCCTGCAGGAAATGACCCCTGCTCAGAACACAGCAGAGCCACCTATCAGTGTAAAAGAAAATAAGAACTACTTTATTTAGGAAATACATACTGGATAGTGCAGCTTGGAGACAGTGACAGTTTCTATTTTATCTAGCTAGTGAGGGATGTGGATGCAGAGAGGCATTCTGCATCCATGGCACCAAAGATGAAGAAACACATCCTCCCTTTTTGTGTGTGTGGGAGAAGAGAGAGAGGAGACGGAAGTTATTTCTCTAAGAGTAGCAATCTATACTTCAAAGGGTTCAGCGACAGAAGAGTAAACAGGTAGATGCTTAGTGTTTGCCTATCTAAATTTGTTCTGCCTATCCATCTGTAACTCTCTGGACACTTGCTTCCTGGAGGCTGAGGCACAGGGACATCACAACTGGTTCTTCCAACAAAAGGTCCAATAAAATGACAAATGAATTAAGAGAAATAATGGAACTCAAACATGGTCCATGGGACTTCCGCATGAGTGTTCTTGATCTGGAATAAAGATCCTAAAGTTCCATCATGTCTACACAATAGGTCATAGCAAGATTTATTTTTTTAAGGCATCTGGAGACATCCATTTACTTCCTATAGCACTGCAATATCTGGCATAAAAAATTTTATTTCTCACATTTCTGTTTGAGACAAAACAGATAATGTGGCTGACAAAATGTTTCAAAAGTCAACAAAATCAGTAGAAAACAAATAACTATCAGTCCCCACCTTCAAATGTAAAAGTACCAAACAAAATGTAACTTTAAAAGGCCTTCTGGAATAAAAATATGTTTTGATAGGTGCTAGAAGGCTTTGTACAGGGAACAGCAAGTTCCACAGGGCAGCCACCAAGATAGCACTCATGCAAGTTTGCACCAACTGAATTTCTCCTTCCATGGGTTCCCACAGTAAAGTTTCCCACCTGATGCCAGAGCACTATCCCATTCATACAGGTGGAAGTGACGCTAAGATATCCTGGACACAGGCTGCCTGTCTACCCTAAAATGCAATCCTACTACACACCTGCAAGTTGTCTGGCAATATTGCATAATACCAGGCTAGTCTTTCTCAGCATGATCATACATGGTACTTATCAGAGACTGTGCTGTCACCTCTGAGCTGTTAAGGATCCAACCATTGCTTGGCATTCTGTTGTGGCTGGTTTCGGGTCTTTGTGATGGTGTAACTCTTCTTAGGATTGCACACTGTTAATTGCAACTGAGAGGACACAGCGAATAGGTAACTGACGGTGATGTGGAATTCACTGCCAGAGGATATAGTGATGGCCATAGGAATAAACAGCTTTAAAAAGGGATTAGATAGATTCATGGAGGATGTCTATCAGTGGCTACTAGCCGTGGTGACTGAGGGGAACCTCCACATTCAAAGGCACTAATCTTCTGAATCCCAGAGCCAGGAGGCAACATCAGGGGCCTTGGCCTCTACACCCTGTTGTTGGCCATCCAGAAGAACTTGTTAGCCTTGTGTGAGAGAGGATGTTGGAGTAGATGGACCATTGGTCTGATCCAGCAGGGCTCTTCTTATGTTCTTAATCCATGGAGTTATACAGGTTAGGGTTTCCAATTTTTAAACTGGTTCCTTAATTTCTGTTTGACCTGCAACATACACTTGATGATGTTATTTATTCCCATGCCATTACTTCTACTGCTCATTTCCAGACAGTAGTACTCTATTAAAGGGACCGGACAATTTTCCTTCAGGCCTGTTGCAAGTTGCAACAGTAACTAGGGTTCCCAAGTGCTTACCTGTTCCGGAGCGGGGGAGTCCAGCCTTGCTCCGGAAGTCTTTGTGCGCGCGTGCCGCAAGCACATCACACAGAAGTGACGCAAGCATGTCAGGGACGTTGGGGGTGGGGCCACAATCATCCGAGGGAAAACCATAGAGTTTTCCCTCGGATGATTGTAGCCCCGCCCCCAACGTACCTGACGTGCTTGTGTCACTTCCGTGTGATGTGCTTTGGGGGTGGGGTTCCCCCAGGGGGCCCGATCCAGTGGCGGCGGGGAACGGGCCTCCCGGGCGGGGGTTTCCCCGCCCCCCGGGGGGACTTGGCATCCCTAACAGTTAACACAGATTTTGTCCTGAAAAAGAATTGTGCTGATGGATCAGTCTTTCCAAAGTGTTTACCCTACATAGGGTTGCCAGGTCCCACCTGGTGGGGGGTGAGGGGGTAGGATTGCCAGATCCAGCTTGGGAAAATCTTGGAGATTGGAGTTTGGGGAGGACAGGGACCTCCGTGGGGTAGAATGTCACACAGTCCACCCCCCAAAGCATCCATTTTCTCCAGGGGAACTGATCTATGTAGTATGGAGATGAGCTGTAATTCCAGGGGATCCCCAGATCCCATCTGGAGGCTGGCATCCCCAACTACTACAGGTTTGATGGGATTCTGTATAAACAGTGGGTACTGGTTGCTTGCCACTCTCTGTTCTCTGGTGCTTTGCCTGCTAGGCACAGGAGCAAACATTTTGCTTGCAACTACTTGCAGTCAGTGATAGACAAGGGTGTGTGGGGGAGAATGAATGCTATACTTAGCCATGCTTACAACCCATGGCAGGCAGTACTGCCACTGGGACAGATAGACAGAGGCAAATGTTTTGCTCACACTGTAGCACGGTGAAAGGGGCCTAAGCCCAAGCAGAGACCACCAGGAGAAGTGTATGTTTAATGACGTCAGGTTTAGCAGCTAGGAGAGCTAAAATGGCTGAACCCAGAATTCCACAATCTCAAGGCTTTTATACTGTCAGCAAAATACACGTCAAAGCATGCATTACAGCAGTGGGATTTTCCATTAACTAGTGTTGTGTCCTTACCCAGCCATGTGCACGATCCAGTTTCGGCCGGTTCCACATGCGGCCAGGTGAAGTACCTGAGCTTCGCTCCCGAACACAATAGATGTTTGGATCCTAGTTCCCTGCCAATCGGGAACCTAGGGTCCCTAGGAATAATCTAATCACTGTAGATAGACCATTCACGGGTGTTGGGTGTGTGTGGGTGTGTTTTCCTTGGGGCATATAAGCTGGCCTGCGAGCCGGCTACTTTGTCTTCTTCTTTTCGAATAAAAGTCTTAGAGCTGAAATAACGAGTATGTCTAATGACTTTTCAGTGGCGACGAAGGTGGGATTCTAATCTCCCTCCCATGAACAACGACCATGAGACGAGCACCGCATCATCGCGCTCCAGCACCAAGGGCACCACATGCCGCCGCCGAGCCTCGTGTCCCGCTTCTCCGGTCACCACACCG